TATCTTCTATTTATTGTCTTTTATACTTTTCTAGTTAAGGGTTAAAATTACTGTCCACGAATTTATTCAAATGTCAACGTCAACCCTACTCGACCCGACTCCAATCTGTGTCTGACAACTTTGACTGTTGATTTGTACAATTTTATTGATTCCATTTTTGGTGGTGGTCACACACAACGACAAAATAAAAAACATCAAATACTAATTAATATGGCCGATATTAAATGCTATATATAAACTTAGTACTTATTGTGAAATAGTTATTGTGGCAAAGTTAAATATCGTATTATTGATTAAGGTAATTATAAGAGGTTTTAAAATTATATTCGTATTTACTAAATTACCATTAATACGGTAGCGATGTTAAGATTCTGTTATCGCAGACGTCGAAATCAATTAAACTTTTTATAATTAATTCAAATTCACATCAATTGGTAAAATCTATCATTTGTGGATGACTTTTAATGATAAGCCTAAACTAATGAATTCTCAGTTAATAGAACGTTAAATATACGCTTTATTATTTTCTTGAAGATAGAGAGAGAAATGGTAAAAAAAGAATATTATCAGTGTCGTATTTACAATCTTGTTTCAATACTTCTTCTATACATTTCAAGCGGTTTAATACATACGAAATAGCGTTTTAATGTTCTACTTAACAATTTAGTTTAGTTGTAATAAATTACATTATTATAATATTTATACGTAAATGCAAACTGGTACCAGCGCTCTTAGCACGTATTTGATGCTAATTATGTTAAATTTGATATCTAATTTAATTCAAATGCTTGATTTTCCATTCGTATGATTTAATTACTATTTGAATTATATGTTCGATTGGATTTGGAGCTTGCGTTTAGTTCTACGCCCACGCACAGCTGAGCATAGCTGCTATGTTTTTCATAGAGAAATCATCGTCTTTAATATTCGTTTTTACATAATGCTACGGTAATAGTTTCTCTATATATAGGAAAAGAATTTCACTTGGGCCAGTACATTGCATCTCGTGGAGATTGGCTGGGACGTATTCAATTCACAGTGCCCTATCTACTTGCTATTAGCTAACTTTAATGCCAGACGCTACATTCTGAGACTGATCTAAATGAACTTCTGCGTCTTATTCAGTCTTGGCTTTTAGCTTAATTGAAAAAGTATTTTTTATTATCCTTACCTTAAGTGTAATTGTTTCGCCTTTGCTGTATACGTATTGAAATATAGCGGCGCAAAACTAATATGTAAAATGGACACTAAGATTACGTAGTTACGTAGTGTTGTGGGGTATCTCTGCATATATCGCATTTACCATGGAAAGTGTTCGGAGGAAATATTCGGAAATACCTGCAGCTGAGTTTCATCGTCGTTCCACAACTGAGCGTTATTTAAGGGAGTTTTGTGGCACTACTATGTGGAACCAGCTACCCGCTGACGTATTTCCAAACCAATTCGATTTAGGGTCCTTCAAGAAAAGAGCGAACCGATTATTTAAAGGCCGGCCACGAACTCGCGAGGCATTGGCATTGAGAGTGTCCATGAGTGGCGGTATCACTCAACATCAGATGAGACTCCTGCGCGTTTGACCCTAGTTCTAAAAAATAACTAAAAAGACTGCATGCATGTAATTTAATGTAAAGTTTTGTACTGAAATTCTATATTTTATTGATATTTCCTGGAGGAACATAGATTGTCCAAACTTATACATAGAGCCTAACTTCCGAGAAATAAATAATTCCGAGAATTAATGCTGGTACAGTTAAAGTCAAATCATTTATTTCAATTAGACCACCTAAAATGGCACCTTTGAACGTCAAATAAAATATAAAGAAGATTCTAGTTGCCCCTTCCAAAAGGTAGTTTCGTGTGGAGAAAAATGGGCAAGAAACTCCACACTTACTCTTTTTAAATAGGTTTACAATATTTTGTTTACATTAGTTAAATAATTATATGTGAAGACAATGTACTCTTAGAATAAAACTACTATACAAAAAAAGTTAGTATACATGTTCCTCATATATTTACAATAAGTCTAATCATTAAGGAATATAAGTCTATTTCTGCCAATACCACTGAGTTGTACACAAACACGTAGCAACCATTTCTCACAGACGATATCAGCTGAGCGACACACCTGGGATGTTACAAGTTGGAATTCTAAGCCGACATTTATTGACCCATGAAAATATATCTTATATTGCGTTCTGTCCTTTAAGACTTTCAAACGTGGTTTGCGTGTCCATGTTTCATTGCGGACTGCATATATTCTTTATCTGAGATAAGGTTCTGCTGTTGTTCTCATTTTAGGAAAATTATAGTGGTAGAATGAGAAATGATTCTATCTATTTAAGATAATGAAATGGACTAAGACCAACATCGATTACTCTCGCTGCGGTTACTCTCGCTGCTTAATGGGTTTCTCGACTCTTCACCGGAGAGTGACCTATTTGGGAAGCGTATATGCTGTGATTTGAGAGTATACTTGGAGGGGATAAGAGGATAGCATTTACTGTCAATTTTGTAAATAACTTAATTGTATTTTATTGTAGTTTTATGTTATTTTTAGTCTGAGTTTGGCCATGCATGGGCTGTAAGTAAATAAATAAATAAATCGAAGTGAGTGATAGTCAAACAATCTTCAATAGATAGACTGATTTAAAAATATGTTATATTCGTTTTTGATTTATTTTTTATATTCTTTGCAAATATACATAAAATGAATGAATTATAAATTTAATAGACATTTATAATACTGTCAGCCTTATAGATGTAATATGTTTATAGTTTACCCCCCTTAACAATTATATTAGGTAGAGTAGATTAGTAGACAATTATACGTATATATTACTTGCTTTCAAGAAATTATAAATAAAATCAAGTATCTATAAACTTGACTTCTCTGACTTTTACAAAGATAACTTACATAATTCAACTTAGCGCATCACATTGAAGATGACCGTTATTTTCGCATTTAGTATATTATAGACTGCGCATTAAAGCCGAAAGCTTACCGCATTTTCACTTTTCCAATATTACCGATGTGGCGCACGTCCAGAATCTTCAAATAAGTGCAGATTTACCAGTGATCAGTAACTTGTAGCGCATTGTTTCGGCTTCGTACGAACGGGGAGCTTGCCAACTGCCTAGCTATCTTCGGTACCACTCGAGGCCCGTGATTTATAGCTAAACTTGCCAAACCGCCCCTAACCAGACTTTTGATTCGAACACGTCTTTTGCTACTTTAAATTGTATTTAAATTGGTCTTTATGTTCTTGCCAAGTGGAGTTTAGTATGATATGTAAAGCGATTCAGCGAGTCATATCACTACGTGAGTTTGAAACTATTTCTAACTTGTTTCTAATTCTTCCTTTTGAAAGGCCGTCAACTGTATATTTGAGTGCTGTCGCTGTCCACATTTGTGGCCTAGTGGCTTCAGCGTGCGACTCTCATCCCTGAGGTAGTAGGTTCGATCCCATGCTATGCACAAATGGACTTTCTTTCTATGTGCGCATTTAAAATTCGCTCGAACGGTGAAGGAAAACATCGTGAGGAAACCGACATGTCATAGACACAAAAAGTCGACTGCGTGTGTCAGGCACTGGAGGCTGATCACCTACTTGCCTATTAGATTGAAAAATGATGATGAAACAGACTCAGAAATCTGAGGCTCAGAACTAAAGAGGTTGTAGTGCCACTGCCACAACAGTGCCACTTTTTTATTTTATTCACTATATTTGTTAATTTAAATATATTTTTTATATAAAAAAAATTTAGTGGTATATTTTTACAAAAGACTTGTTTTCAATAGGCTTTATTTAATCAATAAATTGTAAATATGGATTGTGGTCCTGATCTAATAGTGACCTGACCTCATAGCGGGTACAGTGAAATTGATATGACAAGTCTACATCAGTAGAAAGAAGTCTTGAATGACGGCTCATATGTGCAAGACGCGTTTCATCTTTGTCTAATATCATCATTTAAATCTTTGCCCAACCTAACAGCCGTATTTTTTCTTTGTGTCTAGTGTGGAGTGTATATTGATTCTCCCGCGAACAATTGGTGTTTTCATATTCTATTTTCAAATCGGAAGCAATTTAAAAGAAGAAACCTGTCAAACTTCGTGACGGCTTGGCCGCTAGATACTTTGTGTACCTTGTGTACCTATCTTTATTCACAGTTTTTACATTACATGCGGATACGTTATCAATGTACCTAAATTATCCTTAAATCAAAAGTCTAATGTATAAGACTAACGCAGTAGGAATTGCAAATTGTGCATTTGAGCTTTATTTGGCCCTTAGGCGTGATCTAGTAGGAATTATTCATGCTCGATGAAGACTCTAATGGAACGGAGAAGCACATTCAGCCTAGAAACTGTTTGTTGATCTTAAACCGGCCTTAGCACTTAGTGTGAATAGGGAAAATCTTTCGTCACATGCAGGTTGTTGTACTGTGAAAATAATAATATAAACTTTTCATATAAAGTTCAGTTAGTGGTTTATTAAAACACGTCGTTCAGATGTTATAATTTTAAGTTAAGTTTTAATTTAACAAATAATAAATATTTATTAAATTTATTTCATAATACTATTACAAAAAGTATGTTGATTAGATGTACAACAAGTAAATACAAACAAACCTAACTAAGCTAATCGCATGCATATTATTTTAAAATCAAAGTTAATCTTAATAATAATAATAATCTTGAACGGTGACTTACTTGACTTAATGTTTTTAATCCCTAGATGGGGCAGTCCACTATAAGTCTCCATCGCGTTCACTCTTAAGCCTCGTATTTTACCTCCCTCCAAGTCATTCCAGCTCTCTTTGCTACATCTGTAACAATACGACGCCAGGTTTGCCATGGAACACCTTAGGAAGGCCATACTTACTCATTCCTTGCGGGTTCCAGTTAAGCGCCTGCTTGGGGATAAAATTGGAATCTCTTCATTTCTACTTGCATCTCTGATCTGCTGGCTAATCAGAGTTTCTCACCAGCGCTCGCAATGTTGCGAGCTATGCCGGTTCCTTCGGGAATGCTGGTGGAATGTACAATATTGCTTCTTAGAAATCTTCTCGGGTAAGTAGATACCCAGAATACAGCGAAGACAGAAGTTGGTAAAAACTTCTAATCTTTTACTGTAGTGTAAGAGCAATTGTTACGTTTATTTCAAAATTAAAACTAGATTTATTTTGACAGTCAATAGTTAGTAAGTAGTATTATGAATGTTTAAGGTTGAATTTTTCCAATCTGAGTGTACAATTCATGATGCACAATCCAAATGAACTCAAGACAATATTTCTGGGAATCAATATAGGAACCATTCGGGCGGATAATCCGGTTTGAATAATTCGGACGGGCTCGGTTCGAGAATAGGGTTGTCAGATATACGAATAAAAATACATTAATTTCTTTCATTCTGCATTTGTTAGCACTTCGAAATGTCACAAGTTTATTTTAGAATACATCTCATAAAATTTTAACAAGCCAGTTGACGTAGTAATACAAAAGTTTTATATCCGTAAAAGATTTATTTATTTTTTTGGAACAATATTTCTTCAGCTCTGATTTGAATAATAATTGTTTTGTAGCAGTAGTCAGCCCAACTATAGTTAGTCCATTGTAGATAAGATGAACTTAGTTTACGTTTAAGTATCTATTTGATTAAAATAAAATAAAAAAGTATTATTATATATCTCGTTTCATATGAATTTCTCATCTTTATTTTAAAATTTAAATATTGATTACCTTATTTTATCCGTAAATATTTGCTCCATTTCCTTAGATTTGAGTTATCATTTGAGGTATCATAAAAATAAACGTTTTATTTGTACATTCAACCTCCGTTTTCTAAAAAAATGTGAATATCCAACCTCTTTGTTGCAACTGGCAACCCTAAGCCTAGCGAGGTGCTGTGGTCTCGAGATAGCGCTTAGGCCGATCTTGGCACGCTCACGCCAATAACACCAACTTCTGTGACGATCAAGATTGCATCGGGATATTTGATTCTGAAAACGTGCTATACCACAATACATACTATAAAACATGATAAATGCTTTTTACCACACGATATTCTATTTTGCACACCAGAAATGACATATGTCCGAGACAGAAAAGATACGATATCCTTTCAGTCATCGTTTTAGTGCATAAATAAAACAAATTTGACAATTTATAAGTCATAATTAAAGCTGTAGAAGTGTTGCGGTGTTTATTTCAAAAAGTAAATTCCTTGAAACGCGAATCCGCGTGATATGGACCTATGCGAAAACATAATATTAAGAATTCAGTGAAAACAATATTTATTCGTATCAAATATGGCGTGATTGGCTATATTAAATATATCTTAACACGGACGAAGTCAAACTAAAATTGCCTTCGGAAGAGTGAACAAAAAATTTATATATTAAATTCGAGGCGAGGCATGAAGTTGGTAAAAGTTTGCCAGCAACAGCCAACAAAAACGTTGCCAGCAAACCGCTTTAACCAGGCCACAGAGGCGTGTAGGAATCGTTATAGATCCAAATTTTAGGAAAAAAGCTATTTTAAGAGTAAGGTTGTCTACCTTTTTTTATATTTTCAACATTTATTTTTTTCTATTTCTTACTACAAGCGATCAGCCTTTGGAGCCATAGACGTCGTGAGGTCATGAAGGCAGTAATAAATTCTTAGAGGACTTTTGCTGGCTGATGTCATTTTGATGGAACGGGACATTGGCGGGCTGACTTCTTTTCATCCCCTCATAAGATTTCTTTTTCATTCGGGTGCTTGGACAAAACGGACATGTGATAGATCATCTTCGATTGATTGGTTTTTATAATTCTTTATAACCGTCAACATTATCGATTATAAAATTTAATATTAGTTAGGAAACAACCCAAAAATTAATAAATGTGGTCACGTGTTGATAAGTCTAGTTCTGGTTTAGGTAAATATTTTACTACAATTTTATTTGTTTTTATTAAACATTTACCAATAACAATTAACCAGTTTTAAAAATTTAACCTCATTAGAACACGATACAAAATATTCAGTTGTTTATTTAGTACTAATTTACTTTTGGTTTCATAATATAATATTGATAACATTAAAAGTCACAGGGTAACGTGCCGCTTACTCAAACTCATGTTGCCCGTGAGGCTTAAACAAATTCCCCGAAATTAAGCACGCACGAGTATTCAAGAACTATTATCGGGAAGTTTCAAGACATGTGGCTGCTAATAATTAATTAAAACATTAACTCGTGTTTAGAAGATCCAGGGATTGTTCAACTCCGCTTATTCGGCTTCAACATGGAATGTTCGAGGTAACAACACAAGGAACTTTGGTAATGTTATAGAGGACGGTGCTTAAAATAATGGAGTATTATAAATGTAAAATACTTATGTACTCATAAATCCTTATTACTATGGGGATACTTCTAAATGAATTTGACTGAATAAATTAAGTTATAAATAATCTCCATATTTCAGCGTACTACAGCAAACAGTTTGGGACCCATTAAACCCTACCAATTGGGGTCACTCATCCTATCAAGAGTCCCCATCAGTAGTTGTTACAGCAACTCATGCTATCAACGTCTTAGGATTAATTGTTAATAGAGTAATCTAACTCTTACATACTCGGATCGGCAAAATTTAAAAACACCTTTTTATATATATTTTTTATATATTTTACGTGTGAAAGAAATGGAGTTAGTAAACCTACTCGTACATTTTTGGAATCAAAAATTCAGAATATAATTGAAAAAAGGCAGGTCAAAAGCAGCCATAATCGAGGGTGTATGTTGAATATTATGAGGCTGAAAGAACCGAGAGAGATGGTGGGGCAAGTGGGGGTATGGTTTCAGCTACTTTTGGAAAACAGGCGTGACTTATATATTTAAAATAAATACATGCAATTCTCTTTACAAGTTTTAAGCCATCATCAAGATATATAAAAACTTCGTAATCGTCGCCCGTAGCGCACTCAGTGAGCCATCAGTAATGCCGTAACTAATGCTGATCACCCTCAGTCTATTAACCTCAATAAATTCATACTAAATTACACTTCGATCGAAGTTATTTTCGGCAATGCACTTTTCTTTACTTACTACTTTTCGCTAGATTAACTTTTGCTTACTTAAAGATTTTAAATATCAGTCGTTTAGTTGGTGATACTTTATAATAAGGCCCGAATCGATTCGGATATTAGTAATTTTTGTAAGTAAAAGTAAAGTACACTCGGCGTCAAAAAAATCGCACCTTTCTTAAAATTCGTGTCAAGCGATTATAACTTCTAAGATCCTTCTTGTACCCTATCATTATTAGTATCATTTAAAAGCTCAATTAATAAGCTTTCAAAAAAATAATCATTTGTTAACGGAAAATCAAAAACCACAAATCGCCAGCACTTTGATTAAAAAGTGGCGATGTACGCATTTGGAGGCTCACTAATTGTACCACCCTGGACGCGTATAAAACGAGGGGGGTAAAAGTCAATTATGGGTTATTCGCTATCCAGACGTCACAGAGGTCACACTTGAAGAGCTTCGACAGTAAAAAACCCAGTGAAAATGGATACCATGGCAGAAGAAGCAGCTCAAGTGGTGGCCCTACCTCAAACCGGACTACGGCAGGTTGAAGTTGCTCGGCAACTGAAAATCAGCCGATTTCGAGTGCAACGGGTATACCAACGGTTTCAAGATACTGGAGGTTACATCTGGAGGACTGGAGGAGACATGGATCCGGGAGACGTCGCTGCACTACCGTCAGAGATGTTCGCTACATTGTGTCGACGTCTTTGCGGAACCGCTTCTCCAAGGCTGTGGAGCTGCAGCAGTGGCTTCGAGCTACTCGAAGGACAGCAGACAGCGTCTCCACTATCAGAAGAAGGCTGTGAGAAAAGAATTTGATGCCCCGGAGAGCTGCTACAGGCCCCCAATTGACTGCCATCCACCGGACGAACAGGAAGCGATTTTACGAAACGTACGTGCCGTGGACATTCGACCAGTGGAGGAATGTCCTGTTCTCCGACGAAACCCGAGTGTGCCTGTACACCATAGACATGGGTAAGAGAGTCTACAGGCGACCAGGGGAGCGTTTCACACCAGCCTGCACCGTGGAAACCGTCGGGTATGGAGGAGGATCCTGTATGTTCTAGGGCGGCATTTCTATCGACGGCAAAACAGACCTCGTGTGCGGCTCCAGAGCTGGAGATGGTCGCGGCCAGGGGTCTCTGACTGCCCACCGGTATATCACCGAGATTTTGGAGGAGCATGTGGTCCCATGTGCAGGTTTTGTCGGCGCCAACTTCGAGTTCATGCACGACTACGCCCGGTGCCATACAGCCTTGATTGTCAAGGACTACCTACGTCGAGTTGGCATCAAGGTTATGGACTGGCCAGCAAGAAGCCCAGACCTCAATCCTATCTAGCACCTCTGGGACGAGCTGAAACGGCGAGTTTGGGCCCGTAATCCAGCTCCTGCCACTCTCGATGAGTTTCGAGATGCCGTCATCGAGGGGTGGGACAATATTCTCCAGGAACACGTCGTGACGCTCATCAGGTCTATGACTGACCGCTTGGAAGCTGGTCGGAGGGCTAGAGGAGGCAACACTAGGTTTTAAGACTAATTTTTAATTATTGTTATTGTTTATTTTTAATTTTTGTATTGTTCATTTTCTTTGTAATTTTGATCAGAATACACATTGTTTCACATTTTCCCAGAATTTTCTTTTTTTATGGGGGTGGTTACCAATTTCCTACCGTTTTCAAATAAGGGATTTCATTAGCTTTCAAATGATACTAATTATGATAGGGTACAGGAAGGATCTTCGGAGTTATAATCGCTTGACACGAATTTTAGAAAAGGTGCGATTTTTTTGACGCCGAGTGTATGTGAAGAATGTGTCTACCCTAAGTGATACTATGATACGTTTTACTAAGATACGTTCAAATAATTACTTCTAAAGTTTCTGAATTATAGCAGTGTAACTAATATATAAAGATACAATAAATTATCAATTATTTATACTTTTAAAAGTTATCAATTAGAAGTATTAACAGAACATAACATTTATTTCCAAAAACCGATTGCCGAGTCAGCTACTAGATACAGTAAACTCAAATGAAGCGTCTGAAAAGCAAAATGTTGTGAAAATTAAGCACAGTTTTAAATGAACACGTACTTAAAATTGATAAAAACCGCAAAAACTTTATCAAGCTGAGTCCCGCAGGGCTTGTCACAAGTTGGAGACGGAGTGCATACATTATCTATTAAGGGTTTTATCCAAGTTAAAATTACGTTTGAATAAATAAACGACTTACGAAACTTAGAGTGTTTTTAACTGCTTAAGCAGTGATGAGTTTCTTGGGAGTATTTACGAACGGGTACACAACGGGTTACTTAACGCGTAAAGTAGTTTCAGCCTAAAATGAATTAAATACTTTTTAAATATAATATTAGGTTTTTGGCTTTTTGTAAATAAAATAGATGACCTAATTCACCAATCATTATTTTAAAAGTTGTGAGTTATTTTTACTTACATTTTATTTTTCTATGCAAGATATGTCCTAAACAATATCTTTCAACACAGGTAGATTTCAAAAATCGTCGTTTACTTTGTATTAAAAGTTTAAAAAGTAAGGATTTGGCAAGCGATGGTATTACTTTCGGCACACAATGACAGATTTTGAGTCACATTTGCGCCCTCTTGGCACCGGTCCACGTTTTCCACGAATCTGTTCCTAGCGAGTTTATTGCTATCTACATAAAACTACTCTCACCCGGAATAAATGCAATTCTAATCTTTACACGTGTTATGAATAACCTAATAAAGATAATTATGTGTTATTAGCAACTGTTTCGCAAAAATGTTTATATGTTTCATCCTTAATCTAATGTCAATCTTATTCACTTATGAAAACATATATCGCACACACGTCATATCATATCACATATCGTCAAACGTTTGTATGCCATTTATCATTTATAAGGACACTTTCGTGCACTGAACTGAAGTGTGAATGTTTACTAATCATTACATATACACAAATCTATGTACTTTGGTCTTTGGGTTCTTCATTCTAATTTATTTGCAAACCAATATCAACTTATTGATTATATAGATTAACAATATACAATATTTATTGTATTTTTATTCTCCAGGATTTCCTCATTTGAAATGTAGTTGAATGTCAATAAATTTCTTAACAGTCATTCAAGAATTCACACGCAAATACTTGCAATTTCTCAGTTAATTCCCTTCTCAAACTTTAATTAAATTTTAATCAACTAATCGAACAACGCTATTACGCTGCAATTTAACTTGCGTTTTTTGCGTTTAAGTAAAACGTTGAATTAAGGTGCATTTATTATACTAGAAGGATGTATATCTAGCAATTTTTCTTCATCAGATCAACATTCAACATTTTATTTCTTTTTCTGTAATCTTTAGACACGTGTATGGTTTTCGTTTATTTTATTATTCATGTCTTAAAAACTATTCTCGAATGCTGTTTTTAGTAAAATTCATATAAAAACGAATAGATTTTTAATTTAAAGGTATATATTATTGATTTGGTTGGCATATGGATATGATGTGAAGAGGACAGAGACAAACCATATATAATTATGCAGTACAAAACAAGAGGCACTTAATACCCTATGTTGTCATTACTATAATCGTAGAGGTCCGTAGCTGTCCGTAGCACAGAGCATTCTCGATGAGCCTGTATGTCACGATAAACAGCAATTATAATGATACCATGAAATATGTTTAAATCTTTCGTATGACAAAGTGATAGTATAATAGTGAGAGTACAGTAGTGGTCACCTATTACTTTTTTCGTTATAAATGGGTTGTTCACATGTTTTCAAACAATTTATCTATGTACTGTTTTATTAGTCATATATTTTGAAAATGTCAAGATCAGTTTAAATTGTATATTGTACATAAGCTTTAACTACTTTTTCTTAATTAATGTTATTATTTAAAAAAAAAAATACCTACTGTAATAGGATCTTTAAAACAAACCACATTATTAATAATAATAATCTGTATTTTGTCATATCGTCATCAATTGTATTTATTTATTTACGTAGACCAGAGTTTATGTTGTTATAATATACTAGCAGACCCAGCCAAGCGTTGCTGTGACTAAGGTTTTTGTTACTTAACATAGTACTAAACTATTCAAGGGAAACAGTAGGAGAACACCAGTCATGGGCTCCATCATGCTTTTTGGTGGTTATGCCAATAAATTGTAGCTTATGTGAAAACTTTCAACACAGCGCCATCTGTTAGAATTGTGACTGTCAAATAAAAAACAAATAGTTTCCAATAAAATATTTTGCGGGTATAAATTAAGATGTAAGCTATCCAATCTTTTAAGTTAGATCAAACTGCACACGGTGTGCAAATTTGATTGAAATCGGTTAAGTAGTTTAGGAGTCCATAGCGGACAAACAACGTGACGCGTAATTTATATATATTAAGATTTTAAGCATTTACAGCATATTAGTCTTCCTTTACCTATTTAATTACCCAATGAAACTTTGAAATGATTTTAACCGTAAAATATTTATACAGTTATTATGAATTCTACAAATAAGCGTTCATGTATAACAAAC